TTTTTTCTCCGGGAAGATAACATTATATATACATATAATTATGTATAAATTTATATATTTATACAAAATTATATAAAATTATACATATTTTTATATAATTTTGTATAATTATATCTTATTATATAAAAATTTTTTCTCCGGGAAGATAACATTATATATACATATAATTATGTATAAATTTATATATTTATACAAAATTATATAAAATTATACATATTTTTATATAATTTTGTATAATTATATCTTATTATATAAAAATTTTTTCTCCGGGAAGATAACATTATATATACATATAATTATGTATAAATTTATATATTTATACAAAATTATATAAAATTATACATATTTTTATATAATTTTGTATAATTATATCTTATTATATAAAAATTTTTTCTCCGGGAAGATAACATTATATATACATATAATTATGTATAAATTTATATATTTATACAAAATTATATAAAATTATACATATTTTTATATAATTTTGTATAATTATATCTTATTATATAAAATTTTTTCTCCGGGAAGATAACATTATATATAATTATATATAAATTTATATATTTATACAAAATTATATAAAATTATACATAATTATATTAAATTTTATATATTTTTATGTAAAATTAGATCAAATTATATATAATTAAATATAATTTTATATAATTATATATAATTTTTTTTCCCCGGGTTAACACAACTAGATAATAAACTCTACTATAAAATTTTCTCCGTGCATTACCTAAAAAATAAGATTTATGATGTATGAAAGTTATTCAATGATAAAAGCCAATAATTAATTAATTCATTGTTATTTTATCGAACTACGAAATAAATTGAAAAAAGAATCAAAAGTCGGCGAATAATAGCTCAAATTGAAGATATTTATGTCAACTTTAACATAAAATTAATAGATTTAAGCTATCTTTTACGACTTAGAGTATTTAAAGAAAAAGCTCTGAAACACTTTCATTGAAATTTTTTCAAATTTTCAAAATCACGGAATTATTTAAAAAAATTATGTGATCAACAGCTTAAAGTAAAGGTAATTACGTAAACTTAAAGATAAATTCAAGAGATTTTATCTATCTTTTACATCTGGAAAATTATTTTCATAAAATTGACGAAAATGAAAATTTTTTGAAAATGAAAAAAATTTTCAAACACCCACAACTCGTAAACTAACCGGCCGATTGTGTTCATCATCAAACTCGATCTTGGTATTGATTTATAGAATGAGTCAACAAAATTTAATTAAGATCGGTTAAAAACTGTGAACGTAATTCTGCTTGCATGACGTGTTATCTTTATATATATTTATTTATTTATTTATTTATTTAGTAACAATAGACCCAACAGCTGGAAGGCCAATAACAGGGTCTCAATACAATTTATACATAGTTTAATAACCTTAGTATAATTTATGAACTAAAGGCGAAGTACATAAGAAAATTTTACATTTGTAAATTTTAATTATATATCAGTTTTGAACTAAAGTTTTGAACTAAAGGCGCAGTAAATGAGAAATTTTACATTATTATAAATTAATCATATAAAATAAATGATATACTGCTATACAAATTTTATTAAGAATATAATCAAAAACCATAATAGTTATAATTATAACATATTATATAAATATTAAATAATAAATGATATAAAAGCAACTAACAATTAGAAGTAGTAGATATCATAAGAAAAAATACATTTGAGACTGAAAGTACTATGAAGACAGAGTAAGTATTAGTGAAAATTTCAGACTCAAAAACACCTGGTTTAAGCCAAGTTTCAGTAAATATTATAACGGGATTTCGCCTGACCCGGGGATTTACCAAGCCAGGCTCACCGTTTATATTAAAATTTGGTTTTCTTAAAAAAAATTATCATTAATAAAAGGGCGCCAGGAGAATGATCTCCAACTAATTACTGCTTCGACTTCGGCTAGCTATTACCTCTTCTTCAGGGCGGCGGGCCATGCTGAAATATTCGTCGTTAAAAAATAGGACAGCAAAATAAACGAAATTCTTAAAATTACTTGAAATGAATTCAGGAAAATTAAAAAAAATAACAATTTATTCAACAAAATATATGTCCGCGGTCGATATTAATTTTTTAACAAAAATTATTAAACGTCGTAACTTAAATTTGCACTCAATTTTAACAAAATTAAATTAATAAACGTCGTTATCTCATTCAATTCTTACTCTCACATTCATACATCAGCAATCACTCTATGTAATAACAGCATTACAAAAAAAATAATCGTAAAGCGTTGAATCCTCGCTTATTATTTTTGG